TATTATTTCAGTCGACAACATATGCATTTTCTCAGTGTGTGTTTTTTCAGTGCGAGTTACTGCATCACAGGATTACTTTTGTATTATTTGCAACAACATATGCATTTCCCTCCATTCTTTCCTAGCTGAGCTATTGAAAGACTTTTGAGTAGTTTGATCATTGCTGAAGTCATCACATGTAAATATTTCAGCGATTAAATTTTTTGAGAAAAAGTTTGGAAACGTTTGTCTGTGTCGTTGCTTTGAAAAAACCTCAGTCGGCTGCTTTTATGGCAAAATATGAAAATTGGTCAAATGATTTGAGTTATAATAAACCCCTTAAAGATTTAATTTCATATTGTCAGACTCAACAGCTATTTATTGCCTCAGCTAATAACAGTATTCTCAGTGGTATTAGCTCACAGGAGGAAGGCTCAGTGAGTTGATAAAATTGTTTTTGTTATTCCATGTGTTTTCTATCTGCTAAACACATTAGCAGTGAGATAAAGATGAAGGGGAGCTTTGCAGCATCAAAGAAATGATAATTACACCTATCAGCCATAACATTAACTAAGATAACTGGTATTTCTTGACTTAGTCGAGCCATGAAGCCTCAGAGGAAGACAGGGTTTAATGCTGATTGGGATGGAATATACTATCCTTTCATATGTGCTGCTATTTTGTTCATTTTGGTAAGTATGAGTCAACTCACCTGTGTGCGTAATTCATTAAAAGATAATATGGTCTTGGAACCCCCCCAGGGTCCTTCAGTGGTTTCCAGGGGTGTTCCTGGCAAAAAGGGAAATTATTTATACTTTCACATTTGGTGCAATGTCCATTGTGAACATGTCTGTTTGGAATGGACTGCCTGCTTCGCCTGTGTTAATGCTCTTTGAAGCTTTCTTACCTGCAGTCCACAGAAACCTGAAGCTGTGCCTCCTCTGCTGCACAAAGAGCTGGTCAGGTGTTTATTCTGAAAAGTTCGGTAGCTCAACGCAGTACGAAGAACTCCTGTTTACCCAAAGTTTATTAATAATGAATGTATCACGTGTCCAAATCGCAAGATACTTCACTCTGCACTTCTCTGAGCCCTTAACAATACACAGAGCAGTTCTCGAGACATGTGAGCCCCATACAGACAGACAGAATGTATGACTATACTGGTCCTGAATTTACAGCTCTCCCTGTAATAAAACATCGAAAAGCATCAAAATCTAGTAAAATGGGGGTCTGAGGTCTAATTTGTGTCAGTTTGGGGTCCCTGACCCCCAAACCTGAACCACTGTCATATCCATCATGATCTGTCCGACTGGCAACACTGCTGCAGACAGTGACATGTTGTTTTGTAATGCAGTTTTGTTACTATAGTTTTCACACATCCTGGTGTGATGGTAATCTGATTCAGGACAAGACGAGCAGGTTCCTGTGCCATACCCATGATTCCACTGTCAGCTTTGTCACATTTGGTTTAGTTGTCATATCCAATTGTCATATATTAATTTAAACAAAGATTTCCTTTTATAAAATGTGGATAATTGATGCTTTCAACATTTCTGCAGGTAGTCGGGGATCTGAACATATATCAGGACTCTGACTTCAACTTTAAAAATCCAAACTTTCCAAGTCATTAGACTAAACCTCCTCTATCTCTAAAGTTAGGCCAGGCTATGCTTTGAATTTCCAAACACCGTGTGCAAATGAGAATGATAAAGGTGTAAGTATTGCAGCAAAAGTTCCCTGACTCTGAACACTGCAATTTGCAAACCCCCAAAAGTTTTAATATATGCAACAATTTGGCCTGTTGTTTGTCAGGAAAACAAAAAGGTGTCATTTGTCCCACTCAACGAAGCGAACAGGAGAGTTAGGAAGATGTCAATCCTTTAAATGCACATCTGAAAATTTGTTTTATTTATGCATTTACTTAAACTAAACTTCGGATTGTTCTTCATTAAGTCTTGTAAGTAATAGTTTTGGAAATGTCACAAAACATCGGACTTTCAGCATCCATCATTTAATAAAATGCTACATTCATAGTACTCAACTAAACCCATTTGCCCTGTCGCACACGTATGAGGTAATGTTGCCATCTGCTGGACAAAGAGAGAATTGCATACTTTGTTCAAATAAATGATATTGCGACTGGAATTCTCTAAACAAATGTATTTCTTACTTTATAACAAAATCGAAAACCAATTTGAATTATGTATTGGATCACAGACATTGCTATGATTATAATAATGATAATTATAATATTAACTCTCTTTTCTACTATTAGTCCAAGAGGTTAAATCAGTTCTAAACAGAAGTTCTGACCCTGAAATAGTACAAATAGGTAGTAAATTACTGAACCAGGAAATATTGTTAGCTTACAACAATAGTACTCCTAATGAAACCACATTTAAATTCACTAGATCCAGATTTTCATTTTGATCTGCACCAAATTATACACACTCATAAATATCAGCCCTCAAATATTGTTTTCATCAATATTCATGAATTATTTCCTGAGAGATCAATGAAGATGTTGAAAAAAAGTCCTTTCTCACAATGTTAAAGAAAGTGAAAAAAAAATCTGCCCCCTGATCCGGATCTGCATCAAAATGTAATGAGTTCTTTCCTGACCCATACCACATCCTTTCATAGAAATCTGTGTTAACTTTTGCATAAAAACCTGAACTGGGGAAATGAAATGGGATTTCATAAGGGAACTGTTGGGCCTTGATGGAGGTAGGCTCTCTCTGACTGTCATTCTAGTATAATTGTAAATACCCACACAAAACTCTTTCTTGTACCAGTCCAAAGTATGTGCAAAAATATTTAATATTAATTCCAAATCTCTCTAATGCATTTTGTTTTTGCTTGATTAATTAGGTGCAAAAGTTTGAAATAAATCTCTTTTAGATTATAACTGAGATCAAATCTGTCCCTAACGTGCCAAAAAGATAGATAGATGCATAGGATGGATGGATGGATGAATGGAAGGAAGGATGGATGGGTGGATAGATAGATACTTTATTGAAATATTTTTTATAAAATGATATTGTAGATTTATTTTTACTTGTAATATTCATGTTATTCCAAATGCAGCAGTAAGTAACTTAGGCCTCATCCCTGCACCTTTGTACAGTCTATGTTCCTGCAGCACTGGAATGACCTGATGGTTACAGAGACAACACTCAACCAATAGGATTCGGTCTCCCTCGAGTGTTGGCCAATGGGAGCTCCGGAAGTCGAACAGAGGCGTGACTTCCTGTTCGGAGGTCATATGACCAAATTGAAGTCGTGTGACGTGAGTAGTGTTTGTGTTGTCAGAGGAATCGAACCTGTACAGAATGTGCACAGTGGCTCGCTCGTGTTCGGTGAGTTAATATCGCTTCATCTCACTTCCTGGTGTTTTCTGTAGCTTCAGCTTCATGTTCGTGCTAATGTGCTAACGACTCACTTAACTTCGACTCTGACTCATCATGTGCTAAAAGTTTGCCTCTTTACTTTTGATTGTTGCACAGCTGCTTGGTTTCATTAGTACACATGGAGTCACTGCTAAACGCTTGCTTTAAATGGTTGTTCTTAAATCAGACAGAGTTAAACATGTAGCATAACTAAGCTAGCTGTCTGTGGGCATAGTGTTCATGTTCAGTGTGTCATGTCATCTTCAGTTGTTCCACACGTGACCCACACGCCATGCACGTGCCACGCTCTGATCACACACCCACCCGCAGCTGAGCCCCCCCCTCAATTCACCTTAAAGCTCCAGCGCCCCCCCCCCTCACCACCATCATGGATCCAGACCTGCAGCCCAGCCCTCCTCTCTCCCAGCCCGGTGCAGAGTACTTCCAATGGGACCACCGCCTCCAGCTCATCGGCCTGGGATTCAGCTTCTTTTCAGCAGTCTTCCTCCTCTCTCACCTCCTGTCCACGGCTCTGTCTCGCACCTACAATGCCCTCCTCACCAAGGAGAAGGTTTTCTGGAACCTTGCAGCCACCCGGGCGGTGTTCGGCATCCAGAGCACCGTGGCCGGTCTGCGGGCCTTGACTGAGGACTCCATGTTGACCAGAGACAAAGTGAGAGGTCAAGAGGACTGGTCTTGGTTTAACGTCCTCACAGCCACGGGGTTCTTCATGTTTGAGAATGCTGCACTACACACCTCCAGTGTGGTCTTCAGGTCATTTGACCTCCCTCTGGCGACGCACCATTTCTTCGCCCTGTCAGGGTATGCAGGGTTGGTGGTGTGGGATTCCCATGGCCACTTCCTGCCGATGGTTACGCTGCTGCTGGAGATAAGCACACCATTCACCTGCATATCCTGGATGTTACTGAAGGTAGAGGCCTGAAATCATATTGTCATGAGTTAAACCACTCTTCATCACTTTGCTCCATACATATCTTGCACATTGCAAATACCTTATATTTCTATTACAAGTGCAGCTACTATGCCACCGTCTTAGGGCTGTAGTTGCATCTGGTACTATTTATTCATCATCTTTGACCATTGATTTTAGTTAAGTACCCTATAATTTACATAAACTTCATCAGGTTTCACTTCCTCTTTGGTTTTGTGCACCTTATGACCGTATGACCGAAATAGAGTTGAGCCTCCCTCTACAGAGGAAGTTCCTTTAAAAAAGGACTAGATCAGTACTTGAACTTTTACTCTCCCTCCAGAAACATGTGACCCTAAACACAAAAAGTTACACAAATGTAAAGTACATGAAAAATGTCATGGTGTAAAAACAAGCTTTCGACAATGCAATGAACATTTCTGTTTTTTTTCCCCTACACAGGCCGGCTGGGCACGCACCCTGATCTGGAGAGCAAACCAGTGGGTGATGATCCACATGTTCCACTGTCGCATGGTGCTCACCTACTACCTCTGGTGGGTAACCTTTACCCACTGGAGGGAGATGAACACCCACATGGCCCTGCCCCCGCGCCTGCTTTTCTACATTGGCCTCGCTCTGCTCACGCTCATCATCAACCCCATCTGGACACACAAGAAGACCATGCAGCTGCTCAACCCTGTGGACTGGAACTTTGGCAACGAGCCGGCTACCTTAAACGGTGCCGCGGACAGCCAGCCTGGGGTTTCCGTCAAACCTCATGCCAGCTGAGGGCAACCGAGGAGGTCATTTTGTATCTAACTGATGCCAAATTTGCTTTTACTTATTATTTTTTAATTATGGATGTTTGAAGTTACTTTTAACATTAGGATAGTATTAAGGATATTTTTTCTTTTGTTGTAGGACTTTTTTTTTCACATTGAGACCTTTTTAAAGCAACACAATGTAGTTAATAAAACGGCTTTAACATCATTTACGATCTTACAATTTAGAGATAGGCCTCTCTCTCCTGCAACGCCTGGAAATGTAACTCTGGTGTATCGTGCAGAAACAATTGCAACAGGCTTTATGACATAAGAGAAAGTGACCAGTGTAAGAAACCGGACCAGAGTGATTATAAGCTAAAAGACAAAAGGAGGTAGGACACATAACGACTGTTAATAATCTGGACAGTGTCTCCGGATGAATAACCTGTGAAGCTAACTGGCTGTTTTGGGCGTGAGGGAAGACACACACATCTGGAATCCTGCTTACCTGCAGAGGACAGTTAAATTACATTTAGGCGTTTACTCCGGTGCTGCCGATAGTTTGTGTGAGAAAGAGAGTAAGCGACAGCAGTGTAAAAACTACTCTCAAATAATGGTGTAATTGGTTTGCTCCGCTGTCAACTTGTGTTTACGACACTGATAAAAGTGCAATTCTTACATTGTGTTGCTTTTAGTCCCTGGTCTGGTACCCACCTAAACAAACATTGCCTCCCATCAGGCTTTACTTTCTGGCAGTTTACATGTAGGTCTATCTTTTTGTAATCTTAAGAAAAGACTATTATTTTACATCAGGTTGGCTCTTCAAATGTTTTTGTGGTTGTGTAAGGCAGTGGAATGGGTCCCTGCTTGAATGTGGCACCTTCAGACTCTGGATTGTGAAAGATCCATTCCACCAGTTTAAGAACAGTTTATTCAGATATATAAGATACCACATCTTGCAAGAGCCATTCAAAAGCGAAAACATAAAAAAAGACCGCCCACAGAGTTAACTGATTAGACTTCTTTTATCATGATGGAAGAAATAATAAGCTCAAAAAGAAATGTAAGTGTTGCCGGACTGTTTGAAGCTACTGTACACTTACAGCTTTTTGAGATTTACGTCCTGTCGTGTTTGAGGAGGTGTTGCACTGTAAATCTCTTTGCAGCCACAGCTGCTTCTGGTTGTCTGCGGTTTAAAGATGATCCTGTTATGCTAAAAGACGACTAGTAGTAACACGTTATCTGCTCGAGGGAGACGATTTGAGAGAGAGAGAGAGAGAGGAGAGGTTATGCTCCTTCTCAGTAGTCATCAAACGACTCAGCCATAAAGTCACGTCAAGAATGTGGCCTTTGTCATCCGGAGATTTTACAACAGATATTCACCACTTACTGGGCAGCGTAGGCTAGAAAACTGAATTATGCTTAAAGCATTAGGTTCTGAAGGTTATTCATTAGCGCTAGTGGATACTAAGTATAAATTGACATCAGTCAAATCATGATTCTCAGAGAGAACTATTTATTGTGGCCATGAGAGAAAAAGCCTTTAACTGAATCTTCTTTACGGGTGGAGGAAAACTCAGGACTGGTTCACTTCACAAAGGCTCTATTGTTAATAATGGGGATGTAATGTGACTAAATTGCTACAGTATTGATGCAGAATAACCAAGCAAGTGAATTGTTCCTGGTTTCACATGGACAATAATTTAAATTAGAAATGTTTTGATTTAGTAAAAGCTTATTCCTACTCAACCCGCATCAATATTTCATTATGTGTTTTGTTTTTCTTCTACACAATGGATTAATTGTTCTTGGCCTTGAGTGTTTGATGTCTCTGTCACAGAAAATCAGCATTTAAATTTCAAACTTTCACATCTTTTTTCCATCTGTCACATATCTCACTGCGTTGCCTGAATTAGTGTTGTTACTGTACCTCAAAACTAATTGTTAATAAGCTTTCCAAATTAGATCAATTTATAGCTAATATTTTCATCAGTTCGTTATACTCAAATGTGAAATAATAATTTGTATGTGTGAGCCTAACAGACAATATTGTATTTCCACTCAGTATTTGCATTTGTTTTTATGATGGCTTAGATATAGTGTACTGTTTTATAATAGGATGTCTGGGTGGTGATCTAAGCTCCATAGCATTCAACATCCTGTTTGTGTTTTAATTTGAGTTGCACACCTAAGTGTCTACTCTCCCACAGAATTGTTTCCATGGGCATTGACCATACTTGGAATGTATCAAGGTTGTGTAGCTGCCTGTAGGTGGCAGTCTGACAGAAAATATGCATCCTAGATTTTGGTTTGACCACATGAGTTTGACACATTTTTTCCACTTCAGGGTTTATTGACTCCAAAGCACCAACACAGTGGATTTAACAGGCTTATTTAAAAGGTTTTTTATTAAAGTTGACTGATGAAGTTGATGAAAAGGTTTTTTTTCTGTTTCAGTAACATTCAATAAACCAAGTAATATACTAGAAAAAAGAAATTGTAGTGTATTTTTCCCCCCAGAAAAATCTTGGTCATGTTTTATATTCAAGCCTATTGTGTTTTTATGAAATGTTTGCAGTATGTAGGTTTATTTACATACACACATGCAGGTTTGAGCAACAGTTGTCATAAGGACTTTGCATTGACATCCATTCAATGTGGACAGCCTAATCAAAATCTTACACCTTACCTTTACCTCACCACAATTCACATCTTACCATTAACCTTAACCATAGTTAAAGTTAGGGGTAACACACACACACACACACACACACACACACACACACACACACACACACACACACACACACACACACACACACTTCTACTACTCTTGAACACATCAGTCTCAGGACAGCTGTTTTCGAGTGGGGGGGGGCTCACACGTCACGTGAGCACTGAGGAACTCCTACGGTCCGGTCCCGTCGGAGAAGGCGTCAGAGGCTTGACTGACGTCCTGGACAACCAATCAGAGCTTCCTTCAATCCACCCTGCGGCCAATCGGCTGCCAGGAGGAGGGGCAGTGCGCATGGATGGAGTCAGCTCGGAACGCAGGGAGAGAAGTGAGCAGAGGGACAGTGGAGGACAACTGGATGTTTGGATGTAGTTTTTATGTCTTCAGTCGTGTCTCAGTCAGAAATGCACCAGGTTTGACATTTACACGGTGTCACAGGAAGGAATACGAGCTTTCGTGTGGGGAAAAGTTATTTAATGGTGAGTTGAGGACTTTTTCTTTTTAACGTTTCTGAGAAAGTTGGAAACATCCTAACTTTTCTGCTAGCTGTTCGCTGTGAATAGAAACAGGCGCCATTATCCGGCTTAATTCATTGATAAAAAGTGAACTTGAAGTGTTCGTGTTGAGTGTGAAACGTGTGACCTGCGTGGATTTAGTGTGGAGAGCAGTGTGTTGGGACATGGCTATAACGTGGCGCCTCAGATTCACTGTCATGTTGCCAACAAGCTGAGATACCTGCCACAACAAAGACAGCCAGTGCTGTTTAACCACGCTTCGATTTGAATCAACACAGAAATAAAGTGTTGTAAGAAGTTTGAATGTCCCAGCTCAGCCTTTCCTGTGTAGAAGACTGAACAGGATACTAACACGTTTCCTCCAGGGGCTGACTCTGTCATTAACATCATGAGAGTCAGGGTTAGGCGATACGGGCCAAAGTTATATCAAGATACATAGATTCCAATCAGTCGATATCGATATTTATCACGATGTATCACGTTATGATTTCAAAGTTCAAGTGTGTTTTGTGGTTTTAAACTCTTCTTTATGAGCAAAGTGACAAACACTTGATAAACAGCAAAACGTTTAACAAGTGTGAGGTAGAATAATTGTGTTACACCTCCTCACTGTGTGTTTTTTGACAAAAGGTGACTTCTGTTATTGCTATTGATGAAAATAATAACTCGTACTTTTCTGAACCCACTGTCTGTCTTCAACGATGCGTATGCAGGTGCAAGATAGCCTTTTGCCTTTTATAACAGGGATTTCAAAGCATGTCAAGTTTGTCATCTTGACTTTTAAACCACTTCGTTCATATGGAAAAAAAAATAAGAATTTCCGCTGCTTTAAACACTTGCATGAACTCATGTATGAGTGAGGAAGTGTTCCTGAGCTGCAGCAGTTATCCCATCTACAAATTCAAGTAGTCATGCATAGCATTCCTCAGTGAAAAGGCCGCACAGCTCCAGTCAACTGGAAGATCAGTGCAAACAGGTAGTAAAACCATAGTCCGTGAGTCCAAGGCCCAGCTGTCCTCCTATGAAACCACTATTAAATTTAATAGATTAATAGATTTTTATTTGTGGTGTAAAACCGTTCCTGGAGCCTCTCCTTGATGAAGACCTGCCCCAAAATTTCCTCAGTTCTCCCCTGACCTACACCTTATCCTTCCAGTAAATTTTGTGGTAATCCCTTATCTAGATTTTCTCTAATGTTGCCGGTTGGTTTGCATGTTTGTGGATGAAACAAACAGACAGAGGTGAAAACTTAACCTCCTAGGCAGAGGTAATTAAACAATTTACTTGCCTCTTGCACAAAAAAAGCAAAGCACCTCAAAAGATTTTAAAAGCTTAGCTCTTAAGGTTTGAATACAAAGAGTAGCTTCGTCTTTATTTGTATTGTCTGCTATCACACACACATGTATGTACACAAAGTCTGCACTGGTCATTTGTTTAGCAAATAACCACAGTGGCCTGGCTGCAAATACAGATGCTTAACACCCAGAGCTGCTGTAACAACACCTGAGGAAAGCTGTCAATGGAGCACAGATCAGTTTTTCCTTCCTGAAATTCACACAGTTTCCTAATGTAAGCACGCAAGTGAGACATGTAGACACTGGGCTCTTTATGTGCGACACATCCTCATCAAACCACAGCTGCTTTGACGGAGAATGCTCTGGGGAACCTCTGGGGGGGAAAAGTGTTTTTTGGTGAAAGGCATGTTCACTGTCAACGGTATTTGGTGCGTGTGTAGACGCTTTAAGGGACAGTGTTTCAACATCCTATCAAGCCTTTTGTCATCAACACAAAAACACAGCATAGCCTGAAACTGCAGTGTTTTTTGTCAACGTTAACACAGATGTACAATCATTCAGCGGAGGAAACTGCTAATTGCTAAAGTAATCGTGACAAGTCCGTAACACTACGTTTTACCAGTTGCGGCTCATGGAAATGCCCTTTGTTTACCATGACTAAGCTTGGGGTTGCCTGAGTACACAGTGGCTGATCGGAGGAACATACCATTCATTTTTAGAGACGCAGTTATGGAGTCACCGTCCATCCACTACCCCACCGGCCATCCGCTGAGATAAGCTGTGGATTAGCAACACAATTCTTTAACAGCTGGGAAAGAAGGGCACTGCTCTTTTGCAGGTGGATGTGAGAAATCGCTCACATACCAAACACTTGTTTAGCAGCTGGGAACGTGTGTCAGTGAAATTTCGAGCTGGAATTGAACTCGGAACATCAATTATGTAAAGTCCAGTATGTGGTAGGCATCAACAAATCCTGCTATGACCAAGACAGTTGATCCTTCTATTCAAATGCCTGTTTTACTGCCACACTCTGTAAATTGAGATGTACAGCCGGCAAGGATAAATAAAGTCGTAGCATTGTCTCCACACTTTGAAGTCAGTGCAAAGACCAGTACGCTGATGATTTGAAGTATCTTGGTTTCCAGTGCTTGCTCATTTTAATCTGAATGAGTTGCTCTGTTCATCTTAAAATTCCTCCAGAGCTTAAATCTAGACAGTCAACAAAAGCTCTTCGCAGCGGCCGCTTATCCACTCCTCACCAAACACTATGTAGTGTTCTTCTGGTGACACGTTGGGCTCTCAAAGCTTTGGTGTGGCTCAGTGGGTGGGTGGAGACCAGTTAGGAGTGACAGCCAAGACTGTGGTTGCCTCTGTTTTCAAATGGACACCACATTTGATATATTATGCAGCCCTAGTCTTTCATTTCGTCCTGTGAGTCCCAAACAGACCCATTTCACTAGTTTGTCTCTTGAACTGAAAACAGACGGTGCCTCCCAAGTAAAGGTCAGTGTAAAATGAAATAAAGATAACTGTAATGTAAAAATATCACACAGCTGTTATATGTTGTGTGATGCATCATAATAGTCATTTCACTTTCACAACATCAGGAAAATCTAAATTCCTGTTGACATCATGATGTGTTTTGCTAACAGCACATCAACAATGGCTTTGGGCCTTTCATCATAATCTCTCAAATCCCATTGTCTTTCCAAGTTGACGTCTTTGTCAATGTCTTCTATGTGTATGGTACCTCTTTTTCATCTTGGGATATTTTTTTTATTTTTTTTATTTTTTTGGCCGTCACGTTAGAAACATCACTGCTGCCTGCTATATTCTCAAATGGGCTAACTCAGACAATTTTTTTTACAATTTTACTAGGATGCTGGCAGGACAATTTCCGGAAAATGTCTATACCAACTGAGGTGGACATTTGAGTTGTCATATACAGCCGCTCTGTAACATTTCAGGA